TTTTTTTTTTTTTTTCCTTCCCCTCCCCCATGGGTTTCTGTTAAGTTTCTCAGGATCCACCTAAGAGTGAAAACATATGGTATCTGTCTTTCTCTGTATGACTTATTTCACTTAGCATAACACTCTCCAGTTCCATCCACGTTGCTACAAAGGGCCATATTTCGTTCTTTCTCATTGCCACGTAGTACTCCATTGTGTATATAAACCACAATCTCTTTATCCATTCATCAGTTGATAGACATTTAGGCTCTTTCCATAATTTGGCTATTGTTGAGAATGCTATAAACATTGGGGTACAAGTGCCCCTATGCATCAGTACTCCTGTATACCTTGGGTAAATTCCTAGCAGAGGCTGAACTTTTTAAATATGTTGATTAGCCATGTATTTCTTTGAGAATTATTTATTTTTGCTACTGATCTGTATATGAGTAAGTTATTTGCCAATCATGTCTGTACCATTTCTTTCTTTCTTTCTTTCTTTGTTCTAGTACTGCATGTTTTCTTGTCTCCTTACAATCAAATCTATAGCTGCTGAAATCTGTTTGATTTTTTTTGATAATTCAAGACTCCTCTTCCTTACAATGATCAGATTAATATTCATCCATTTTTTTACCCCGTTTTTTCCCCCATTTAACTCTTTAATGCTTCTGCATTTAGATTCTTCTTCCTTCTTTAATGTATGATGGAGTTTGTTGTTTTAACTCACATCAAGATACAGTGTGGTTAACTAATGTCTGAGACCCAGACTTTAAAGGATTTTATTCTAATTACTGGAATTTGGACAATTCCTAAAATCCGATAAGCGAAATTTTTCATGTCTTTGTATCAATGACTAAGATTTCATGTATGAAAGGCATTTGAAGAATATATCATATTCTTATATTCTTTCTAAAACACTACATTTGTTGGGGCGCCTGGGTAGCTCAGTCGGTTAAGCGGCCGACTTCGGCTCAGGTCATGATCTCGCAGTCCCTGAGTTCGAGCCCCGCGTCAGGCTCTGTGCTGACAGCTCAGGGCCTGGAGCCTGTTTCGGATTCTGTGTCTCCCTCTCTCTGATCCTTCCCCGTTCATGCTCTGTCTCTCTCTGTCTCAAAAATAAATAAACGTTAAAAAAAAAAAATTAAAAAAAAATAATAAAACACTACATTTGTGTTACTTGAAGAAAATTCTGACCCAGTTCACATTTAAAAATGTTGCACTTATATATATACTTTCTAAAACGCCTCATTTGTATTACTTGAAGACAATTCTGACCTAGTTCACAGATAATGGCAATGCATGCTCGGACCATTCTGTCTCTTTCTTGAAGTCCGTCATTTCCAACTGCTATTAATGAGTTGGCCACAGAGCTAGGAAACAAGGAAGCATTCACAGTAATCATCTGGAACAGGGAGGAATCAGAAAAAGAAGTTATTTATTTCATAACACATGTTTAAAACCTATTATGTTCAGATTGAGGTGTTCACAACCATAGAATATTTATAAGATCCAAGCATCAATTTTAATCTTCTTCTTCATGGGTACATTTCAAAGGATTACTAGATCTAATAATTAATGCAACAGATATTAATAATCATTACTATGGAAAAATGTTGGCTTTTTTTCCCTAATAGTTCAGACTATGAATCAGTTAACTGACAGGATGTAATGTTTCTGAGATTCTAAGCTCCTGCGGAGTAGGCACTGTATTTTACACAACATTTCAGAACCCAGATGAAGGAAATCAGTGGTAAACAGTTGTCAACACACTGCTGTACTATAACATTCCTGACTCTTCCCCTCATATAATCACCACCAAGGTATGTTCCACCAATTTACCTCATTATGCATACTCTTTCTCCCACCAAACTCTAATTTGGACCCTCATTCTTTTTCACTTTACTGCCAAAGATGCCTAATAATCTCCCTGTCTCTACCCATCACTTGTTGCTATGCAAACGGCAAAGTTAGTAATCCATAATCGATCTTTAATACTTCAAGAATTATGATGCAAATAGTATGTATCTGGTGACAAAACTTTTTGGATGAATCTTACTTTATTTTTTTTATTTTTTTTTTTTTGGATGAATCTTACTTTAAATGAAAAGTTTAATTGGAATACTGAAAATAGATTTGGAATCTATTCCAAATTTGCAATACTGAAAATAGATGACATATTTTCAGTTTGGAAATCAGAAAGAAAATAAATTATGTAGTTAATTACTGTTTAATAAATAAAGACTATTTGGTAGATGAACTATTTCAAAATAACAGGTCCCTGGAGTGGGAATAATTAATCTGTACTAGATGTTATTGGATTTATAATCCTGTGTATCAAGGGCAAGTGATTTACCTAAATGAATCCCTTTCAATTGTAAAAAATCTGATACGTTAATCTCTTATTACATGAATAAAGAAATAATACATGAAAAAAATTGATGGCTTCATTGTGGCTTCAATTAGGCAATGAGTAGAATTTCAATTGGATAAAGAATAAGAACAGCTGAAAAGCAGGAAAATTATATAGAAAATGAGTGAGACAAAAACCAGGAAAGATTTTCTGGATTTGGCGGGGGGGGGGGGGGGGGGGGGGTGAATATCAAGAGACACTGAAAATGAACCAGCAAACAAAAAATCTTCCAAATGAATGAGACAGGTGAAAGAGAAGGAAAAATAACATGGATATTCCTTAATTATTCATGGAACAAGGTATCCTAAAACAACAAATGTTTCTTGCTTTTCTTTAAAAATAAAGAAGATTAATACTTATACAGAAAATTTTTAAACTTTTAAAATGCATACAAAAAACGACAGTGACCTAGCCATTCTAATATTAATATTAATTTCTACTAAGTCAGTTGCCAAGATGTTGCTGAAAAAAAAGAAATACGTACTTTGGTTGTTAAAATTACCAAGGAAATTACAGTTCCTCTAACCAATACTGGCCACCATTCACTCAGCAAGTATATTTTCCTTTTAACTCTATCTGCTTTTAGCTAAACCAAGGAGGACCCCTGAGCCATCATTCTTCCTCTGAGCCTGTATCCTACCACCAGGTATAAGCAATTTTCCTGCTCTTGGATTCACCAATGATATCTGCCTTAAATAACTCTGTTATTTCAGAACAGAAGAAAATAGTATTTTTCTTATAGCCTTACTAAATTGTAAAGGGTATGTTTACTTTTACTGGGCTGTTTTATAAACTAAATTGTAACGTGCCAAAACCTTTTACAAAACTGAAATGAAATATTTACTGAATAAGTCAGAGAAGCTGAATTTAACTGTTTGAATCTAGCTGGAATTGTCTTTTCTTCTGAATGCAATTTTTAGAGCAGCAATTCCCAAAGAATGGTCCAGAAAACTAGGTCTCTAGGATATTTTCAGAGATTCTGTGAAGTTAAAACTATTTTCATAATAATACAAAGACCTTATTTGTCTTTTTTACTCTCCATCTCTCACAAGTATATACTGAAGCTTCCAGAGGCTCCATAGAATGTGAAATCACAACAGATTGAGTGCAGAGGCAAATATGACAATCTAGCTACTACCTTCTAGCAAGACAAACATTTAAGCGATTTTCAAAGATCTCAAATAATGCCACTGTGTTCACTAAGTTTCTTTTTGGAAAATATGGTTATTTTTATAAAAATGTTTATATGTGATGGGCTTCTTGTTATTTTTTAATATGCTAATATATATTTTAATTGCTCATGCATAATTCCTAGTATGACAAATATTGACATATATCAACTCAAATAACCAAAGTTATTTTTGTTCTTCAGAAACAAATTTGGTTTTCTTGAATTCTCAAAATCATGGCAGAAGGAGAGACTGTATGAGTAAGTAAAAACCATACATCTAATTTTTAAATTTAAATTTGAAGAGTCAAATCACAGTCCCAATGCAATAGTTCACCTGTAACAAAAATATTGTAATCTATCTTCAATATCACTCTTACTAGAATTGTGAATTTTTTTAAAGACACTCATCCATTTACTTCTTCCTTACTATGCTCACCTGTGGGTACCATTACTAACTACAAGCTGGACAACTGGAAGAAAAAGGAGAAAGAGGAGATCTAGTTAATGTACAAATTCTATGTTGCACTGAATTCAAAGGTGGGTAAAGAGGAGAAGGGTTAAATTTTTTAATGTTTTAAAAATAACTGAAATAATTTTAGATGTTTTTACATTAAAACAGCTATATACTGCATGAGTCTCATAAATGTTTAGGATAAAACATAGTACCTAGGATGAAACATGAAAAATTCTTACATAAGCTGATTTCTAACCAAGTTAAAACTCTTAGTTCATGGTGTTCTTCTGCCATTAGGGTATCACATTAAATAACAATAAAAATTCCTTGAAAACCTCTTATTAGAATTGTTACAGATTATCCTTAACATTATTGCAGAATTTAGATTTTGACCTTTTATCCTGTAACATGGTCTGAACTGCTTATTGTAACTGCCTATGGATTGTATCCAAATTCATCTCCAAAACAACCAGCTTGTAACTAGTTGTGACATGCATTTAAATGGTATTAATTCTAAGCATACAAGTAACAAAAATCAGAGTGGGGAACAAGTAATTCTCTTTCTCCAATAACATATCAAAGCAGTAATTTCATTTACATGTCTATTACAGGAAGAAATACAGTAGTTCCTCCCTACCCCCTTATCCATGGGGGATATGTTCCAAGACCCTCAGAGGATGACTGAAACCACAGATGGTACTGAATTTTATAAGTAAACTATACTAAAAGCCTACTTTTGACTGGAAGTCTTACATAGTCAATCAACACATATTTTGTATGTTTTATGTATTATATACTGTGTTCTTACAATAACATAAGCGAGAGCAAAGACACTTAAGAAAATCATAAGGAAAAGATAATACATTTATAGTTCTGTACTGTATTTATCGAAAAAATCCATATGTATACATATATTGTCTGTGTGTGTGTGTGTGTGTGTGTGTGTGTGTGAACCCATGAAGCTTAAACCCATGTTGTTCAAGGGTCAAGTATACTGTTTTTTACTGTACCTACATACCTATGATGAAGTTTAAATCATAAATTAGGCACAACAAGAGATTAGCAACAATAACTAGCAATAAAATAGAACAATTATAACAATATATTGTAATAAAATTTATGACTGTGGTCTCTCTCTCAAAATATCTTATTGGACTGTACTCCCCTTTCTTGTGGTGATGTAAGATGATAAAATGCCTATGTGAGGACGTGTGTGAGGTGATGCTCTAGGTACTGTGACATAACATTAGGCTACCACAGACCTCCTGACCATATGGCAGAAGGCAAACCAAGCTTGACCTCGGGTAATCAAAACTGCAAATAAGGGGGGACTGATGTATTCTTTACAATGAACATTTTATCAAAAAATACTGTGCTAGCTGTACCCGATCACATAATCACACAAAATATTTATGCTTACCTCTAGGTTTAATAGGCCTATTTACCTCATATAAGTTTAACCAAGCAAAAATGTTTAATGAGAATTTAGCCTTTTTTCTAGAAAGATTTCATAAAACAGTCTAAATCTAAAAATGTAAAATATTTAGCATGAAAACCAAAAACTCTGCCTTTTCTCTCAGACATAGAGCATACCTTTCTGACTAATCGAAGTGCTTGTGTCCTCTCTACCTCGTTGCTCTGCTGTATGTCAATGCACCTAAATAATACACAAAATATTTAATTATTGATAAAAAATCTTAGTAAACAGTTTTTTGTATAATACCACCAGATCAGACCCATCTTCATAATGTTATATGGTATTTTAAATTTTAACACATGTGATTTTTCAATACCAGCAGATATTTAGTTAACTTACATCTCTCTAGCGATATTTGTTATAATAGAGCATTTCAAAACTACTTCATTTAAAACTCCAGAAAAGAAGAATATAGTAAATAATTTACAGAATTATGTACATCGATAGAGAAATAATGAACTTATAAAAAAGCTAAGTATCAGAAATCTACTGAAAAGATTATTCATCTATCTTTGATAAAATTCACAATTTTATAAAAACTGTGAAGGAAAAACTTTTCCAGCTTATGTTTTAGTTTAAATGTGATTTTTAACCAGAGCCTACATTTTATATATTATGACTAAGTTAAAAGTCATATACTAGCCACCGGAATTCTATTTTTCCAAATATAATTTAATATCTAAGTGCACTTCAAAACTTAATGCTCAATCAGATATCACTTATCTAACATTTCTCTGTAAAATTTATTAAATTACTCAATTTCTTAAGAGTCATTGGTTTATGTAGCAGAATAACTCATTTTTATTTACGTTTAGGTAGTTCACTATTCTAATCAATACATATAGATAGTTTGCTACTGAAAAAGCATTTCTTCTATCTGAATACAATTAAATCTAAGACAATTTTATTAAAAAGTAAATAAACACAGAATCTCATTTCTGGCCACAACAAAGTAGCTGGATCAGACCAACCCTCCAGCCAAAGACAACTATAAAGATTAAGTAAAATACTTCCTTAAAAAAGTATTTTAAAATACTTTTAAACTGTTAAAAGGGCAATGGATGATAATCTCTGAAAAGAGATGGACAAGCTCCCCATCCAACCAGGCTTTGTCCTGAGAGGCACGTGTCAATCCCCACTTTTAGGGAAATAGAGTCCTAGCAGAAAACAAAAGTCTTGCAACACTGGAGTGACAGGTTGAACTCTGGTGCAGCCAATGTGGCTGTGACTTAAGGGGAAAAATCCCAGAGGAAAGAAAACATAGGAAAGTGAATGCAAATCTTCATGCAACCTCCTCTCCAAGGCACCTATCAATTCCTATGTTGTGTGGAAGCAGGGTAAAAATCCAAGAAACCAAACAAAAAGCTACTGCTGCAAAGCTAAGGAATTAAGCAGAAATTTCGGCAGGTGCATAATACTCTACAATAGATAGTAGGACTCAAGGCTGGTCAAGGTGAAGAGGTTCTGCTAAACATCTACAACTATTACTTGAGATCCCAAATATAGCCACTCCATAGAGCAAAGGCAAAGCTAAAAGTAAACTTTAACGAAATCAGTGTGATAAGCCAACATTCTAGAATAAAGCTCACGTGTCTTAAGAGGAAAACAGCATGATCCAAAGGCAGATATCCTGAATACATAATTTTTACATTCAATCATATAATAATATGAAGTATGCTTTAAAACAAAACAAAAGGCCAAGTCACCAAAATCCAAGAAAAGAAAATTACAACCAAAATAGAACACTGGTGATTCACATATTGTTGTTGTCCTAAGAAAGCTATAGATACCTATGATAAATATGGTCAAAGTAAATAGAAGGAAACATGGAGAAATAAAGCAGCGACCTAGAATCTTTAAATAAGAGTAAAACAAATCATAGAAATACAGTAACAGAAATTAAAAATTCAAGAGACTGATTTCCTAGCAAGACAGAGTTAAAAAACAAACAAACAAACAAACAAAACAGGTGAGTAGAAAGTAACCACACTAAAGCACAGAGATTTACAACAGAAGTTGAAAATACAGTAAGGACATCAGAGACCTGTGGCACAGTGAACAGATCCAACACTTCTCCCAGACATGGGAGAAGAAAGAACAGAAGAGAAGAAAACCTTTTAAATAGCCAGAGAAAAAGATGTATCACTTACAAAATATCAACAAGAGACTACTTACTGTTCAAGTTAAAAAAAAAAATCCAGAAGACAGTAACTTATTTAAAGTATTGAAAAGAGGAACCAGTCACAAAAATAGCCTTCAAATATGAAGGCAAAAAGAGAAACATTTACAGACAAATAAAAGATGAGAGAGAATTCATCTCAAGAAGACCTGCATTACAAGAAACAGTAAAGGAAATTCATCAAACAGAAAGTGATGCAAGATGAATGAAAATGTGCAAATACAAGAAAAAATGACATCAGAATGAGTAAATAATGTAGGTAAATGTCAACAGTTCCAGTTTAAAACAGTAGGGTTTTGTAGGGTTACAAATATATGTAGGAATAAAAACTATAACAGTAATACAAAGAGCAGAAGGGAGATGATATAAACCATTAGAGGTTTCCTGCATTGTTCTGGTTGTAATAAACCGCTAAACCTGAATATCAAGGATATGAGTTGTAATCTCTAGGGCAACTGCTAAGCGAAGACTTTATAACCAAGATATTAATAGAAGAGGAAAAGAAATTGTGCGCTATTGCAAAAGAAACAAAAAGGAGGAACACCAAAACAAAGAACCAGTGTGACAAACTCAACATAGCAAACAAACTCAAATGTATGAGAAAATTAACACCAAGAAAAACTCATAAATAAATATATATATTTATATAATTACATTGCATAAAGTCCACAGACCATGCATATTAAAATACACCAGACAGTCTAGATGTTCCAATTAGAAGACAAAGATAAGATAATCAAACTAGATTTAAAAACAAACAAAAAACCTATACGGTGTTTACAGGTGAGAAAATTTAAATGTAAAGACAAAAATAACAGAAAGTAAAAGGATGGTAAAGGATGTGTCTTGCAAACCCTAAATCAAAGTGAGGATAGCCATATTACTATGAGGTAACATGAACCCTCATAAAAGATGTACTCCTAGGAATAAAGAGGGACATTTCATAACTATAAAAGTATTAGCCCAATGTGAAGGTTTAACAATTCTAAATATGAATGGTTCAAAATATATAAATGATTGGCAAAAGGAGGAGAAAATCTGAATAGTACTATAATTGTAAAGAAATTGAATCCGTAATCTTAAAACTACTTAAAGAAAACCCTCTGCCTAGATTCACTGGTAAATTCTGGGGGAAAAAAACCAACAACAATAACAGTATCCATCTTACATAAAGTCTTCTAGGGAACATAAAAATAGGGCAACACTTCCCTAGTTGTTTTACAAAGCAAAAAACAAAAAACAAAAAACAACTTCTTGGTTCCAAAACTAAACCAGGACATTAGAAGAATGGAAAAATATAAGCCAATACCATTCATGAACTTAACTACAAAAATCTTCCACAAAATATTATCAAACCAAATTCAGTTAATATTTAAAAAGGACAAAACACACAATGAACATGTGGTGTTTACTTCAGGAATGCAAACAAGGAATATAAAAGTCCATGAAAAGCCTACAGCAACTATCACAAATAATGGCAAAATACTGAATACTTTCAACCTGAGTTCAGAAGCAAAATAAAGTTGTCCATTATCACTATTTCTAGTCAGTGCAATAAGGCAAGAAAAAGAAAGATACTAAACTTAGAAAGGGAGAAATAAAACAGTCACCATTTGCAATTAATGATTACGTACATAGAAACTGTAAGATAATTTTGACAACAATTAGAATTGAAAAACTGAATCTAGCAAGATCACTAAATACAGTTGACTATCCAAACCAAAACCCAAAAACTCACATTTTTCATATATTAGCAGCAAAAAATATGAGAAAGAAAAAATTTAACTTACATTAACACTATCATTAAAAAGTACCTTAGAATAAACATAACAAATATGTGCAAGACCTCTGCACAGAAAACTACAAAATACTGTTGAGAGACATTACAGTTCCAAGTAAATGAAAGTTTAGAGTATGCAATATTATCAATTCACCCCAAATTAATCTAAAACTTCAGTGCAATTACCACTAAAATCCTAGAATGTTTTAAGGAAATGGACAAGTTGGTTCTAAAATTTATATGAAAATACAGGACATAAAATAGCCAACACAGTCTTGAAGAAAAGTTGGAGGACTTACACCAACAGATATTAACACATATCAAGCTGCAGTCATTAAAACAGTGAGAAACAGGGGCAAGGACAGACAGACTAACTAAAGAGACTAGGGAATGTAAAAACAGATCCGTAACTATCAGTTATCTGGTTTACAACAGAAGTGTCACTACTCTAGACAAGAGAAGAAAATCTCTTTAATAAATGCTGCTAAAATGTACTGCATGTCCATAAAAATGAATCATGACCTGACGCCTAATTAAACATACAAAGGAATAAAACCTTTCGGGGAAAACATAGCATAGTATCTTCTAAGAGTACAAGAACATTAACTATAAAATCAGATTCTATTATTTAGGAAGAGACAAAAGGCAAAACAGACGGACTTGGAGAAGATACTGTCAATACATACTCCTGCTGAAAGGAATCATATCCAGAACATCAAGAACTCCTATATAATGAGAAAGACAGACAATTCAATATACAAATGAGCAAAAGACAAGGATGTCCAAATAGCCAACAAACAAATGAAAGGTGCTTAACATCATTCCTCATTAGGGAAATGCAAACTAAAACCACAAGGAAACTCGGGGCGCCTGGGTGGCTCAGTTAGTTAAGCGTCTGACTCTTGATTTCAGCTCAGGTCATGATCTCATGGTACAGGAGTTTGAGCTCTGTATCAGGCTCTGCACTGACAGAGCCTTTCTCTCTAAAAAACTAAATAAACTAAAAAAACAAACAAACAAACAAACAAACAAAAAACCCAAAAAAACAAAACCCACAAGGAAACTCAAAATGATCTCTACAGCAGAAAGTCTAGAAGTAAAAACTGAAAGCAAGTGCTGATGAAAATGTTGAGAGACTGGAACTTTCCAACATCATTGGTAGGAATATAAATCAGTTCAATCACTATGGAAAAATGGCAGTATTTAGGAAAGCTAACTAGACATAAACCTATGATCCAGCAGTTCCTACACATACCTAAGAGAAAGTAGTGCATATGTCCACCTATAAGAATGTTCAGGCGCTCAATAGGTTAAGCGCCCAACTCTTGATTTCACCTCAGGTCCCGACCTCACGGTTCCTGAGATCAAGCCCTGCATGGGGCTCTGGGCTGACAGCATGGAGCCTGCAGAACCTGTTTGGGATTCTCTCTCTCCCTCTCTCTGCCTCTCCCCCATGCAAGCATGTGCTTTCTCTCTCTCTCTCAAAAACAAAAACAAAAAAGAAGAAAAAGAATGTTCAGGGCAGCTTTACCCAAAATAGCCAAATACTGATAACAACCCAGAAAATCACCAATAGAATGGAAAAAATGAACTACAGTCTATTCATAACATGAAATATTACACAGCCTTTAAAATAAAAACCAACCTGGATAAATCTCACAAGTAACACTGAGGAAAGAAAAGAGTAACTATGTCATTTTCCAATATATGATGCTCAAGAACAGGGAAAACTGGTTTACAATGAGAAAAAGCACAATAATGTTTAGTATTGGTTGCAGACAAAAGGGAACTTGACTGGGATGCTGAGAATATTCTCTTATTTAGGATAATGGGGTACTAGTTTGTATATATTTATAAAAATTACCAGGTTTTACACTCAAAATTTGTACACTTCATGATATGCATGTTAAAACTTAATACATAATTAAAAAAAAAAAAACACAGCTCTTGTAAAATTACCTTGCTATTAAATAGTCCACTTTCAATTTTAGCACCTTCTGCAGAATACTGGAGTCTTGGATGAGATATCGAAGAGCTCGCAGCCCTGCTGCCCGCACTTCTTTTGCTTCATTCAATAAAGCTAACCGCAAACTGCAGGAAAACAAAAAAGTTTTGCTGCATGAGTTTCAAATACACATAAAACTATGGTACCAAATTCTTCCTTAATTTGAAATAAGCAAAACTACTAGTCATTTTACATATATAAAAATCATTCACTGTAATATGGAACTTCAGTAATCTGTGCTGCTTGGTATATTCTTAAAAATCAAGAAAATGTTATTTTGTCCTACTTTCTGTAGTTTTATATAAGCAATGGGAAATTAAATATGCTTTTTTCAAGGTATATCACATACACCTCTACAATTATTCCTCTCTGCCTACCTGGTTCCACCCCTCTCAAGGAATCATTGGCTTAGGGGTACCTGGGTGGCAGAGTTGGTTACGCATCTGACTCTTGATCTTGGCTCAGGTCACGATCTCACAGTTTGTGAGCTCATGCAGCACACTGGCTCTGTGCTGATGGTGCTGAGCCTACCTGGGATTCTGTTTCTCCTCCTCTCTGCCCCTCCCCCGCTCATGCATGTGTGCACTCACTGTCTTTCTCTCTCGAAGCAAATACATAAACTTAAAAAAAAAGAATCACTGGTTTAAACCAATAAATACTTTATGGCAGTAGGCACAGACTATATATATGTTTTAATTCCTAAGCACACCAAAAAGATGGCTCTTGAGATTATAACATTATGTCTCTGTCAGTGGGCTTGAGAAAATAAAGTCCACCATCAGCACACTCTATCTTAAGGGAGGTCTAGAGATAACTGTACAGGTTCTTCTTGTTCTTAGGAATAATTAAGAGCTCTTGTTCTATGAATTTCAGATTTAATTTAGGAGCTTAAATAGTAGAAATCCATGTATTTTCCATCATTAGCTTTGATTAATTACATTTGATAATTAAAAAGTATCAGTAAGAACAACAGGATAACAATTAAAAAGTATTGGAGATCCGGGGCACCTGGGTGGCTCAGTCGGTTGAGCCTCCGACTTCGGCTCAGGTCATGATCTCAGTTTGTGAGTTCGAGCCCCGCACTGGGCTCTGCGCTGACAGCTCAGAGCCTGGAGCCTGTTTCAGATTCTGTGTCTCCCTCTCTCTGCCCCTTTCCCGCTCATGCTCTGTCTCTTTCTGTCTCTCAAAAATGAATAAAAGTTAAAAAAAAATTTTTTTTTAAGTACTGGAGATCATAAATTTTTCTAATGTTCAAACAACTGTTTCCACAAAATTAAATATAAGGTGTCACACTATCTTTTTGGTTTAGAATTAGTAAAATTGAAATTACTAAAATCCAGAGAGGTGAAGGAGAGAACTAAACTATACTTACCAAATTATGATATCCCCATAGTTAAAACCCAATTTAGTAAAATTGAAATTACTAAAATCCAGAGAGGTGAAGGAGAGAACTAAACTATACTTACCAAATTATGATATCCTCATAGTTAAAACCCAATTTTTCTTCACTATGGCCAATATCACAAAGAAGCTGTCAGAAAACAAAAGTATGTGAATGTGTTATGTATTTTTGTCTATTTATGTATACATTCCCTTTTAGACTGAAAAATATAGTATTTATCTCTAACAAATATCAGAAAATATATGATTTTATTACTGTTCAAGTATGCATATTTATTTCTACTGCATTACTGTGTTTTTATTTGACCTGCCAGTTTTAGGTTTCTTTAACCCTCCTTTTTGTTTTCATTTGAATCAACCAATTATGCTTTATTATTCTTTATCTCCCCTCAATAAGTTTACAGTTTTAAAACTATCTTTTGATGGTTACCATTGAGATTACAATGTGCACTGTTAACTAGTTAACAGTCTAACAGATATTATTACTTTACCATGTCCTCAACAATGCTAGACTCTTAAAACACTTCAACTTCATTTACTACCCTCACCTTTCACTTTACTGTTGTTTTTTCTACCGATGTTTCAAGCCCCATAACACATTACGGTTATTTTTACTTTCAGTTAATATTTAGTCAATATCAATTTATATTTGCCAACAATTTCACCTTTTCTATTATTCTTCATCTCAGTGTTATCTTAACAGGATATTCTTCCTTCTGTCTAAAGAATCCTCAGTTTGTTGTTGACTTGTTTTATTGGGTGTTTTTATTTACTTAATTTTTAGCCAAGGTTGCTGGTAACAGATTCTTTAAACTTTTGTTTACATGGAAATTTTTTTTTTCACTTTATTTTTTGGAGGATTATCTTCCTGGATTTATAGATTTATGGGTTAGCTGCTATTTTCTTAAAAGCTTCAAGATGGTTTCTATTATCCCTATTGAAAAGTCTGTTATCAGTCTTACTATTGGCTCTTTTGAAGATTTTTTTTCTCTTTGTTTTTCAGCAATCTTAGTGTTCAGGTGTGGTTTTCTCTGTATCTATCCTGCTTAGGAAAACAGAAATTCCCAAATCTCTGGTTTGATATATTGTAATTAGTTTTAGAAAATTTTGTACATGATCTCTTCAAAATTACTTATTGCCCAATTCCCTCTCTTCTCTTTCTGGTAATTCAAATGTCAGATCTTTTGGTGTGTACTGCAAATCTCTAAAACCTGTTTTCTATTTTCTCCATTCTCTTATCTCAGTGCTTTGGCTAGATATTTTCTATTTATCTATCTTCTGATCTGGCTAATCTTCTACCACACCCGTCTATTGAGTTCTTGATTTTTAGACACTGTTTTACCATTCTTGAATCTTCATCTAACTTTACACATATCAATAATAAAAAAAAAAATCTTCATTTTCACCTATTCTCTCCATATTTCCTCTATTTCCTTGACATGTAAATAATAATTTAAATATTTGAAGTGCTTATTATATAAATGTATATGAATGATGTAGATTGCCTGTAGATCCGTTTCTACTATGTTCTTCCTTTCATTGTAGTCATGCAGTCCTGTCTCTTGGTATACCCTGTAATCTTTGTATATAAAAACTTGTACAGACTCCTGATAATATCTTTCTCCACAGAGGGTTTATCGTCTTTGTTAGGTCACTGGACAAAACTAAGTACAGAAAAGTTGCTGCTCTGTTAAGTTTCAATCTACCTCTGGTTTTCCTTTTTCCTCCCCACTCCCCAGGTTTTAACTGAAACCTATTTTCAACTGAAACCTAAGTTTCAACTGAAACTTATTTATTGTTGAGGGAATTAGTCCCAAGAGGATGACATACCTATTTCTGTCTTACAAAAACACTACAACCTCCATCCTTATTTTCAAATATTCTTTTGCTTTAGATTTTTAGGTTTCCCATCTCAGATAGTCCCAGGATTCAACAAATGTACTGAGACAAGAATCTCCTTCTAGTAGACTGCCCCTAGGTCTCCACCAAAAGTCTGTGCTGTTTTTTCTGCTGAGTACTCCTGAGCCTAAGGTCTGAGTCCCTAGCTCTCTGCCCACACTCTAAAGTAGCCAGTATCTCCTGGCAAAAGTTGTTGGAGAAGTAAACGCACCTCCACAAGCTTCTCCCTTCTCCAAAGCTTTGGCTCCTATATTTCTTTTTGACTGAGCAGTTTCCTGCTATACCTTCAAACAGGCTTTCCTAGTTTTCATTAAGAACACTGATCTAATACTAACTACTTCCCTTCCACCTGGATGATATATACCACTTTAGTCTGAATTTTGAAAACTGGCTTTTACCTAAAAGTTACATAGAAGTTTCTCAAGTTATTTGGAGGGCCTAACTGAAATGAATTCAAGAGATTGATCATTTAATTAACACTGAAGAAACAGAAGGGATTCCAAGTGCTATTATTCTTCCTCAGTATGAAGTTATGAACATCTTAGCCATACAGAATAAACCAACCAAAGTGGTGGCCATCACATCGGTCTCTGTGAAAGGAATGGACCCAAGAACATATTTTAAAAGGCACAAAACTGTAGAAATAAAAAGCTAATCCCATCTTATTGGTAGGCTCCTTATAAAATTTCCTATCCAGTTTCTTCTTTAGAAGGAAAAAAAAAAAAGGCAAAAAAGAAATGTTCCAAATAGAAGAAGGAAGAGAATAGGAATAGAGTAGCTATAAGATAACGCAATATTTTCACAGCAGGGAAGGACACTACACAAATGATCACTTTGTGTGGTAAGGAAATGCTGTGTAAATAAGCAAATAGGCAAAACAAGCTGAAAAGTTTTTGTTCACAGGTCTTTATCCAAAATGTTTATATTATAAAATCCTCAAAATTCTGAAATATGATGAACAAAGAAGCTACAGACCTTCAAACGGCATGAAATTTTGTCATTTTTATTGCATTTTGTTGCGATGTTAAAAGTACTAAAAAATGGGAGGATGAGGACATCTTTATACATAGATATAGATTTAAAATACAATGTAAGATTTCCTAAGCTTTGAGACAAAAGAGAGGAAAATTTATATATCTCTAAAAAGCCAACTGTATACCTAAAAGTTAAATGACATATTAGTCAAAAATATTTGTAAAACTATGATAAGCAAAAGGTTAAGGGCTTGTATTGGTTTGCTAGGGCTGCTATAACAAATACCACAGACCAGGTGGCTCAAACACAGAAACTTATTTACTCATGATTCTGGAGGCTAGAACATCAATGTATCTTGACAGATTCTTTGTTTTGAGGTCCTCTCTCCTTGGTTCTCTCTGTCTTCATATGGTTGTTCCTCTGTGTATATCTTTGTACTAATCTCCTTGTTTTATCAGGACACTGGTCATATTGCACTGGAGATCACCCATATTACCTAATTTCACCTCAACTGCCTCTTTAAGGGCCGTATCTCCAAATGCGTAACATTTTGAGGTACTGAGGGTGAAGGTTTCAACGAATGAATTTTCGGAATACATAATTCCGCCCTTAACATTCTAGCCTCACACAGCAAAGTAATATAAGCAGGCTCTTATAATGTGAAAGGCCTAAACAAGTTGGGGAAAGATCACTGAGAAGAGGCCAAGACAAAGTAAAAAGAATTTAATAACATGACGTATTTCCTGCTTCCTAAATTCTGAACCAAATACACTGAAAAGTGCCGTTTGAAACAAAGTTTACCAAACTAGCAAGAAATTCCTTTTTAACATGATTATTCCAAATAAGATAATACATTGTCGGCATTATAAACTGAAATTATAAACCGAAAACATTTTGTAAAATAAATTGGAAAAATGCAGGGCACTTGGGTGGCTCAGTTGGTTCAGAATACGACTCAAATTCCACTCAGATCATGATCTCAAGGTTTGTGGGCTCATGTCAGGCTCTGCCCTAATGGCCTGTTTGGGATTCTCTTTCTCCCTCTCTCTCTGACCCTCCCCTGCTCCTGCATGCTCTCTCGTGCATGCTCACTCTCTCAAAAAATAAACAAATAAGTGAACATTTTTTAAAAATTGGAAAAATGTACTATGGTCAGGATCTGCTTTTGGTGATTTATATGAACAAACTAATCTAAAATGTAAAGTGGTTCAAGCATAAGAGGCTCATGACATTATTTACAATGGTAAAGAACTGGAAACAAAATGTTCATAACGGAGGAAACTTACACAACCTATTAATATTATATAATATTTAAACATAAGGAAAAACATGCATAATGTACCCTGGTAAGATGGAAAAAATTCTAAAAGATGTATTTTTTTTAAGATACATATTTAAAAAGTCTATACCATCAATATTTTAACACCAAAAATGAAAATGCAATCATAGGTAATTTATTTTCCTCTCTATGCTTTTCTGTATTTTAGAAATGTTAATATATATTGAATATGTATTACATAACCTAGGGATGGTTAACTATATAAAGAATTCATGAATAGGAACAGAAATAACATTTATTGACTATTAATCTTGTTAACCCTAGAAAATAATATTTTTGTAAATGAAGACAAATGAGGCTTGAAGATAGTAGGTAATATGACTTCCCAAGGCCAAAAAACTATTAAGTGGTAAAGCCAGAAATCTGACCAAGCCAGTCGGGGTCCAGAGTCCACTGTGAAAAATGTTACTACAATTTTGTATTAAAATTAGTCACACAGGGACAAAGGAGGAGGGGAGATTGGATATAAAAAATAAAGAAATAACTGAATATTACCATCTTTATTTCATATCTCCAGCCTCAAAAATGGTATGACTCAAAAGTCTGGAGAACTGTACTCTGGTCATATACACAAACAAGTAAGTGAAATTTAACTATTATTTTTTCCAAAACAGCTAACTAAAAACACACATAAAAACTGCCCATTTCAAAGGATTGACACATAAAAACTACACTTAACACTATTAAACATAAGTTAGTATTTGAGATTTCCAGGTATTTGAGATTACTAGCATTGTCACTGTATGGTACCATACATTATTTAAAAAAAAACAAACAAACAAAAACAAAAAAAAACTGCTTATCATAGTATTATGCTCACTTAAACCTTGGACATATTCCAACTCAAACAATAGAAAAATGAAGCTTACAAGTTGTTTATATCAACATATATAAAATATTGTTTTTAAAATGGGAAA